GTTCCCAACTATCCTGTGGTGTTGGGTCTTCGTGTTGAAGACACGGCCCCCGCGTTCCTTCCTCTCTTCCTCCTCCCTCTTCCCCATCCCCCTCCTCCCTCATCCTTGCGTTTCACCCACCCAATACAGCGCTTCGTGGCCCCATTGCGAGCTCAACCGAAGGCCCCAGCGGGGGTGGCCACCTGCGCCCGCCACGCCCAGTACAGCGCTTCGTGGCCCCATAGGTCGCCCCACCCAAGGCTCCAGTGGGGATGGCCACATGCGTCCGTCACGCCCAGTACAGCGTTTCGTGGCTCCACAGGGAACTCCACCTAAGGCCCACCTGGGGGTGACCACATGCGTCCGCCACACCCAGTACAGCGCTTCGTGGCCCCATTAAAGGATCCCCGCCGAAAGCCCAGCGGGGGTGGCCACATGCGTTCGCCACAGCCAGTTCATCGCTCCGTGGCCCCATAAGGAACTCCACCCAAGACCCCAGTGGGGGTGGCTACATGCGCCCGCCACACCCAGTACATCGTTTTGTGGCCCCATAAGGGGGCTCCACCCAAGGCCCCAGTCGGGGGTGGCCACATGCGTCCGCCACACCCAGTACAGCGTTTCGTGGCCCCGTATGGCGCCCCACGTGCGGCCCCAGTGGGGGTGACCACATGCGTCCGCCACTCCCATATTTGCACACCCCTCGCACGTTGCGTTGCCTTGTAGGAAGCTCCACATGGGGCCCCAGTGGGGATGGCCACATGCGTCCGCCATGGCCCTATAGGGAGTTCCGCCGAACGCCCAGCGGGGGTGGCCACATGCGTCCGCTACACCCAGTACAGCGCTTCGTGGCCACAGAAGGAGCTCCACCTAAGGCCCCAGTGGGGGTGACCACATGCGTCCGCCACACCCATTGCAGCGCTTCGTGGCCCCATAGGGAGTTTCACCTGTGGCCCCATTGGGGGTGGCCACATGCGCCGGCCACAACCAAGGCAGCGCTTCGTGGCCCCATAGGGGGCTCCACCTGAGTCCCCGATGGGGGTGGCCACATGCGTCCGCTACACCCAGTACACCGTTCCGTGGCCACATAGGCAGCTCCACGTAAGGCCCCACTGGGGGTGGCCACATGCGCCCGCCACTCCCATGTTTGCACACCCCTCGCACGTTGCGTTGCCTTGTAGGGAGCTCCACATGGGGCCCCAGTGGGGATGGCCACATGCGTCCGCCACACCCAGTACAGCGCTTTGTGGCCTTAAAGGGAGTTCCACCGAAAGCCCAGCGGTGGTGGCCACATGTGTCCGCTACACCCACCCACTACAGCGTTTCGTGGCAGCTCCCACCTAAGGCCCCAGGGGGGGTGGCCACCTGCGCCCGCCACACCCATTACAACGCTTCGTGACCCCATAGGGAGCTCCACCTAAGGCCCCAGTGGGGGTGGCCACATGCGTCCGCCACACCCAGTACAGCGTTTCGTGGCTCCACAGGGAGCTCCACCTGCGGCCCCAGTGGGGGTGGCCACATGCGCCCGCCACGCCCAGCACAGCGCTCCGTGGCCTGATAGGGAACTCCATTGAGAGCCCCTGTGGGGGTGGCCACATGCGCCCGCCACACTCAGTACAGAAGTTCGTGGCCCCAAAGGGAGTTCCACCTGCGGTCCCAGTGGGGGTTCCCGCATGCGTCCGCCACACCCAGTACGCCCCTCACACGCTTCGTGGCCCGTTAGGCCCCCGCCACGCCCAGTATTCACAGTCATATACATTCACACTAAGCGTATCCATGTTGGCATACGTGCACAAAGATTTACTCGCACGCAGACTCAATCACAACCAGGCGCGCTCGCGCTCAGTCTCACCCGCGCTGAGTCCCCCGTGCTCCGACCTATTGTTTTCGGTCGTGCGGTGTACCTGGCCACACATGTCGGCACACCCCTCGGACACTCTGTGGCCCCATAGGGATCACCACCGAAGACGATTTTCACAATTGCGGTATTCACAACTGCATATGGTTGGGTCTTTCGCCAGGATTGTTTTTCTCCAGTGGTGGGGTTGGAAGGCTCCAGTGTTCGCCGCAGCCTCCCCCCAGCCTCCGAAGCTTAAAAGCACACAAGCCATAGCATACACAGTGCTCCGTCTCTTACCTCTTGCCAGGCCTTCACAGACCAAGCATAAACTAGCATACACAGCGTTCCGTGGCTCTGGTGTCTCTCTTTCTCCTCCTCCTCTTGCTCTGGTTCTCTCGATGTCTATTTCCCTCTCTCGATATGTATCTCTCTCTATTTCTCCTTCTCTTCTTTCTCCTGTGCCCAAACTGGTCCAAAGCTTTCGTGTCCTATGGTTGGGATCCTTCGTAACGCTTTCCGAACAAGAAAACCTTAGTGGGAAACCCTTTTCAATAAACCTTTCGGTTTGACTCCTTAAGTGTGGATTCCTCAATAAGGAATTGTGGGTTGACGGGCCTTTCAACGGAATTCTGTGTATGGGCCCTTTGTGATGAAGATGCTGGAAGAGATCCTGAACAGGGAGTTCGTAAGAAGGAACCCCTACCCTGGAATCCTTAGTCAACATTCCTGAGTAAGGAATCCTTAGTGTAGACGCCTTCGGAAGGAATCCTTGGCCAGGAGTCAATAAGGACTTATGTATCAACATTTCTTCGTAGTGAATCAGAAGACAGAAATCATTATCATTGAGTTATTAGTGGTGAGTCCGCAGTACGGCAGCCTTTGTAAGCGACACCCAGTAAGGAATCATTGGTAAGGCATTATTTGAAAGGTTTCTCATAGTAAGGGATCCTTCGTAAGGCCCCCTTAGTACGGGATCCGCGGCATGAGCCGTGAATGGTGAACCTGTGTGCAAGAATTCTCAATAGTGAATCCTCAACCGGGATTCGTCACTAAAGGGACACCAGTAGGGATGCCTTAGTAAGGCATCCCCAGTGCGGAATTATGGATAGGGAACCCCTAGTCAGGAATCGTGTGGAAGACCTTTTGTAAGGAATCCGTAGTAGGGGTCCAGTGTACGGGATAGATATGTTGTACAGGGATCTGTAGTCGGTAGCCCTTAATATGGAATTCTTACCCTGGAGATTTTGTAAGGATTTCCTCGTCGGGAATCCAGCGAGGGGAAGCATTCGTAAGGAATTCTTAGTAGTGAGTTGTCACCACGGGCTCACGAGCACACAACTCATAGCAGGGAATGCGAAGAGAGGAATTCTTACCAAAGTGTGGCTAGTAAGGAATCTTCGTTACGGCAGCCTTCGCCAGGGATCCTCCACAAGGAATCCCGAGTACGAAATTTTTAGAGGTCCATGGGCAGGAATCCTTATTGAAAAATGAGTCACAAACCCTCGATCGGGATTCCTTATTCGCAAAACCTTATGCAAGGACGGAATCAGAACATGTGCTCGGCCCCCCTCCCCAAGCGCTGGACCGCTGGAGGGTGAGGAGGATGAGGTAGATGAGGTAGATGAGGAGGACGATATGGGGATGAGGATGAGGAGAGGAGGTGAATGAGGAGGATGAGGAACATGAGGGGGATGAGGATGAGAAGGATGAGGATGCGGAGGGTGAGGAACACGCACCGATCGAATGGGATGCTGGTGAAGCAGATGAGTGGCATGAGGGGATGCGGAGAAAAGTTGAATGATTGGTGATGGGGTTGGAAATAAAAGGGGCAGGATCAGAAGATGCAGGACGAGGAGGCGGATGAGGAGGGCGGGTGAGGGGGACAGAGGAGGAAGATCGTGATGTGCAGAACCAGAGCTGCGGGGGGAGTGGGCCGGGTGGGTTGCTGGGGGGTGGACCAAGCATAAGTGTATATTTATGTATGCATGTACGGATGCATGTATGCATGCACGTAAGTATGTATGGACGTATGAACGGATGAATGCATGTTTTCGTGTATGCATGCATGCACGTCTATTTGCATCCATGCATCCATGCATGTATATATGTATGTATGTATGCATTTATACATGTGTGTATGTAAGTGTGTATGTATTGACGTATTTATGTATGGTTGTACGGGTGTATTCGAGTATGCATTCACGTACTTATCGGTGTACGTAGTTTGTTATGCTCGCACGTCTGTGTGCATGCATGTGTGGACGTGTGTGTGAGAGAGGATGTATGCATGTATATGTGTATACATGTATGTGTGTATACACATATGTGTGTATGCATGGATGCAGGTGTGCATGTAGGTGTGTGTGTGTGTGTTTGCTCATGCAGGTAAGTATGTGTGTAGGCATGTATGTGTATATATGTATGAGCGCTTATTTATCTATATATATATATTCCCTCTGCCTTCCACCCGTCTTTGTTTTCTTGACATTGGTGAGGCTAGAAGTGGTTGCTCAGCGTCGGGAACATATCTGATGTGAGAAGAAGATATGCTGCTCCTTCTCCTCCGTTCGTCCTTCTTCTGCTACTCTGGTTCTCCGACTAAGACTTCATGCGCCTGCCCCAAGCACCCAGATCGGACCTGACCTCCCCCCTTCTCCTCCTCGCCTCCACCTCCTCTTTCCTCCTCCTTTCTTATACTTCTCCATAGTCCTGTACCTCCTGCGACTCTTCCTCCTTCCCTCCTTCCTTTGGCTCCTCTCTCTTCCCCCCTGGCCTCCTCTCTTCCTCCTCCTGACCACCGTCGGTTCTCGGAGATCCGTGGGGCCGTCCGCGACGCCTTTGGACTTGAATCCAAAAAGACGTTATCCTGGGAACTCTCGGTGGGATGAGGCGGGAGGGGTATTCGGCAAAGCGCGCGAGAAGCAATGAGAAACTCATCGCACCCAAACAGATCCCCACAGCTCGTGCATGGAATTCTGTAGGCACAAATACGAAAACCGAAAAAAAACCAAGGACAACCAAAAAAAACACACTCCTCCTTCTCCTCCTCCTCCTCCTTCTCCTTCTCCACAACCTGACCACCGACTCCTCCTTCTCCTCCTCCTCCTCCTCCGTCTTACCTCCTCCTCTTCCCGATGCCCTCCTTCTGACCTCCTGTCCTCCCGACCTCCTGCAGCTGCTTGAGGCCGCGGCGACCTTCCGGCAGGGCTTCGCCGTCGCGAGGAGGCGCGCGCGTGCGCAGCCCGGTGGCGGTTGCCGCCGCCGCCGCCGTCGTCTTTGCTTCCGCGGCGTCGCGGCGTCGCGCCGTCGTCGCCGCCGCCAACGCCGTGGTGCCGGGGCTCGGCATGGCCGTCGTGCGCCTAGCGGTGGTTCGCGGCAGGGAGGCGCCGCGCCATTCCAGAGCGTGGTGCGCGCGGTGCTTGAGGGCTTGGAAGAGCCGTGCACTCCAGCCACGTCGCCGCCGCCGCCGTCGTCGTGGCCGTTGCCGTCGCCGTCGTCGGCGTCGGCGTCGTTGTCGGCGTTCTCGGCGTCGGCGTCGGCGTCGGCGTAGTCGTCGCTCACCATCCAGATTGCACCGCATAGGTTACAAGAAGGCACTGCCGGGGCCCACGCTGGGTAACACAAGGATGCGTGTGTATATATATATATATATATGTGTACATCTATGCACATATGTTTACGTATATGTAGATTGCAGCCGCAGGACACGAACGTAAAACCGATAAACCGATAAACCGATCAACCGATAAACTATTTCGGTTGATCGGTTTATCGGCAGATCGACCGATAAACCGATATGATTATATCGGTTTATCGGTCGATCTGCCGATAAACCGATCAACCACTAAACCGACTCATCGCATGCGTGCCCGAATCTCAGCACAGCTTGGCTTTATCAGTTTATCGGTTTATCGGTATATCGGATCTTTCAGTTTATCGGTTGATCGGTTGATCGGTTTATCGGCCGGCGTTGTCGTGGTTGTCCAATGGGTAATCCTTCGAAATTCTCTCTCCTCTTCCTCCTAGTCCTCCCCTTCCTCTTCCTCCTAGTCCTCCTCCGCCTCCGCCTCCTCCTCCTCCTCCTCCCTCTTCCTCCTCCCCCCTCCTCCGTTCCGATCCTCCCTCCCTCCCTCCCTCTCCTCCCTCCCTCCCTCCCTCCCTCACTGGCCCCGACGCCCATGGTTCTCCTAGTCCTCCCTCCCCCTCTTCCTCCTAGTCTCCTCCGCCTCCCCTTCCTCTTCCTCCTAGTCCTCCTCCGCCTCTGCCTCCTCCTCCTCCTCCTCCCTCCTCCTCCTCCTCCTCCTCCTCCTCCTCCTCCTCCTCCTCCCTCCTCCGTTCCGATCCTCCATCCCTCCCTCCCTCTCCTCCCTCCCTCCCTCACTGGCCCCGACGCCCATGGTTCTGCGCGCACAGGGCCGCGGCCCCCGTGAGCCCCTTCTCGGCGTTCCAGCTGACCACCTTTTCCTGGGGAGCTCGTCCTCCCTCCCTCTTCCCATCCTGCCCACACTCTCACATCCGTCCCCCATTCCCCTCCCTTGTTCCCCTCCCCTCCCTCTTTCGGATTGGGGAATTTCGAATTTCCTATCTCCTCCTCTCCCAGGCCCAGTGCCCAGGCCCATCCAGAAAGAAAAACTGGAAAAGGGGGGAGGGCGGGAAGGAGAGATGGAGGGAGGGAGGGTTGGATTCGATTCGGGAAGGGGCATTTGAGAAAAGAGGGGATGGAGGGGTGGAGGGAATAGGGATGGGGGAGGGGGATTGGAGTTGGGAAGGAGGGATGGAGGGAGGAGTGGCGGGGGGAGGGCGGGGTTCGTGGGAAGCAACATCTGGCGGGGCACTTCGGGCTAGGACGTTTTCGGTTTCTACAGCGCTGTGGCGGGGGTGCGTCCAGCTCCCCCTTCCTCTCCTTCTCTGGGCTTTGGGGGGGTCGCATTTCCCCTCTCCTCCTCCCCGGTCCTCCTTCTCCCCCCCCCTCGGTCTTAGCCGTATCAGGTTATCGCTGTAGCGCGAGCTGCGGCGAAAGCTGCTGGCGTCGCGTGTCCTATTGCGGATCCGGGCGCAACTCTCCGCCATGCGCGGCGGCCCGTATGATAAACCACCCGGGCCTTTAAACCAACGGGACGTCATCGTCTGCTCTTTGTGCGACCGGCGAGTCGGGAAGCCATGCTGGGCCACCCATGTGAGGGATTGTGTCAGCGCTTCCTCTGCGCTCGCGGTTGAGCCGCAGTGGTTGGGCCTTGATCCCAACCGCGCGCCAGTTCAGTTCGTTGCTCAAGGACTGCCTGTTGCCGTTCGCGCCGATATGAAGATAGCGGGGGATAAACTGAAACAGTGCCACCTCCGGACGGGGCGAGCCTTCGTGCCCGACCCCCACATCAGCGGGGCTTGCTACACTTGCGGTTGGAGCTCCTTCAAAGGTGCGTGGATGGGGCCCGAGGGTTGCAGCGTCGGCGCGCTGTTCCTCTACGCCGCGTTCATCGACTCGCTGTTCGAGACGAAGGCTTTGACGGACGCGGCGCAATTCATGACCCACGTGGGCGTGGATTCTAGCAAGCGCTTGCCACGTTCCCGTTATCTGGCCCAAGCTGGGAGTGCGTTCGTGCAGTGGGGTGAGAATTACTGCCATTCCAACAAATTGCGATTCGCGTTCAAGTTCGCAGTGGCTGCGCTGTGCCAGTCTGACAGAACGCCTGTGAGTTCCCAGGTGCGCTTTGTGCTCGGGCACAGGTCGTTCCGAATCCTCGGCGGCCTCGTCATAGTTTTCTCTCCGTCGGAAGAGTTCGGCACCTGGGCGCCGCCGCGCGTGGACGGCGACGAGTGGCCTTGGATGAGCTTTATTGCATTCGGCGACTAAGCGGCGACTCGGCTCCGACCCCTGCCGCTTGGCGGGGGCTGCGCGCAGCCGTGCCCGCGGGTTCGGGCGCGGCCCGGCGGCGGGGGCCGCCGGCGCGGCGACGGGGGCGTCCTGGGCGGCGAGGGCTGCCTTTGATCCTCGCTCAGCGGCGCGAGCGGTCCGGCGGCGGGAGCTGCCCCCGCCCGTCGCTCGCGCGAGCGGCCGGGGCATTTTTAAGAGGCGGTCTGCGTGGTGAGAGCTGCGCCGTCTCGCTGGTGCGCGCGGGCGCTGTTGAGCGGCGAGAGCTGCGAGCGCGGCGACGGGGGGTCCTGGGCGGCGAGAGCTGCCTTTGATTCTCGCTCAGCGGCGCGAGCTGCCCGCGCCGTGGAGCGCGTGGTGAGAGCTGCCCCCGACCGTCTGGCATTGGACTGGTGGCGATTGGCTCCGTCTGCTTTCTCCTCCTCCTCCTCCTCCCCCTCCTCCTCCTCCTGTTCCCCCGCGTTCATCCCCCGCCCCCTTCATCTTCCCCCTATCCTCTTCTTCCTTCCCCCCTTCCCTCCTCCTCCCTCCTCCTGAGGCCCAGGGGATTGGGCGAAGGGCCTGAGGGCACGCCTGCTCCGTGTCCAGAGGCGCGGAGGCCAGATCTCCTCATGGCGGCCCAAGAGGCCCCCAAGAGGGCCCCAAGATGGCCTCGAGACGGCCCGAAAGGAACCCGAGGCGCCCAAGATGGCCTCCAGGACGGCCAAGATAGCCTCCAAGATGCCTCCAACGCGGCCAAGATGTACCCAAGACAGCCCCTGATGGCCCCAAGATGCGCCCAAGACGGCCCAAAAGGCCCGCAGGAGGCCTCTAAGACCGCCCACGAGCCTTCCAAGACGTCCCCCAGGAAGGCCCGAAAGGGTACAAATCACTGATTTCCCTTAGGCTTTGAATGTTTTTTACATGTTCTTCTTTTCAGCTCTCCGACGGGCCAAGACGGCCCAAGAGCCCCCCTACATCGCCCCAAGAGCGCCCAAGAGCCCTCCAAGATCGCCCCATGACGGCCCAAGAGGCCCCCAAAAAGGCCCCGCGAGGGCCCCAAGACGGCCGAACAGTCCTCCGATACATCCAAGATGGCTTCCAGGACGGCCCTGAGGCGCCCCAAAAGGGCGACAAGTCCGTTCAGAGAGGCCCCCAAGACGGCTTCCGACGGCGTCAACCGGGCCAGAAAAACTCTAAGACGGCCAAAGAAGCCCTGAAGAAGCCCCCGAAGGCTCCCCGCAGGCTCAAGGAGGCACTCAAGAGGCTTCTAAGAGGCTCCCAAGAGGCGTCTCAGAGCCCCCCAAGAAGCCCCCAGGAAGTCTCAGCAGGCCCCAAAAGTGCCCCAAGAAGCCGCCTCCTCCTCCTACTGCTATTCCTCTGCCTCTTCCTCTTCGCGTTTATTGCCTAAAACCGATAAACCGATCAACCGATAAACTATTTCGGTTGATCGGTTTATCGGCAGATCGACCGATAAACCGATATGATTATATCGGTTTATCGGTCGATCTGCCGATGAACCGATCAACCACTAAACCGACTCATCGCATGCGTGCCCGAATCTCAGCACAGTTTGGCTTTATCAGTTTATCGGTTTATCGGTATATCGGATCTTTCAGTTTATCGGTTGATCGGTTGATCGGTTTATCGGCGCGGCGTTGTCGTGGTTGTCCAATGGGTAATCCTTCGAAATTATCTCTCCTCTTCCTCCTAGTCCTCCCCTTCCTGTTCCTCCTAGTCCTCCTCCGCCTCCGCCTCCTCCTCCTCCTCCTCCCTCTTCCTCCTCCTCCCTCCTTCGTTCCGATCCTCCCTCCCTCCCTCCCTCTCCCCCCTCCCTCCCTCACTGGCCCCGGCGCCCATGGTTCTCCTAGTCCTCCCTCCCCCTCTTCCTCCTAGCCTCCTCCGCCTCCTTCCTCTTCCTCCTAGTCCTCCTCCCTCCGCCTCCTCCCCTCCTCCTCCCTCCTCCTCCTCCTCCTCCTCCTCTGCCTCCTCCTCCTCCTCCTCCGTTCCGATCCTCCCTCCCTCCCTCTCCTCCCTCCCTCCCTCACTGGCCCCGACGCCCATGGTTCTGCGCGCACCGGGCCGCGGCACCCGTGAGCCCCTTCTCGGCGTTCCAGCTGACCACCTTTCCTGGGGAGCTCGCCCCCCCTCCCTCTTCCCATCCTGCCCACGCTCTCACGGGCGGGAAGGAGAGATGGAGGGAGGGAGGGTTGGATTCGATTCGGGAAGGGGCATTTGAGAAAAGAGGGGATGGAGGGGTCGAGGGAATAGGGATGGGGGAGGGGGATTGGAGTTGGGAAGGAGGGATGGAGGGAGGGGAGGGCGGGGTTTGTGGGAAGCAGAATCTGGCGGGGCACTTCGGGCTAGGACGTTTTCG